CTCGATGTCTTAGAGGTGTGACTTTTGTTTTACAGGTAGTCCTCGACTTGCAACCACAGTTGGGACCAGAACCTCCATCCCTAAGCGATGGTGGTCATTAGGCGAAATATCACATGTTCTCCAAATAGCACGCCCCATTCTCACGATGCCTTGGAAGACCTCAGAATCTTTCCAAAGGCTTTCCAAAGCAGCGTGAGAATGGGGCGCATTTTCAGGGCACCCAAAAGGGCAGAGATGATGGGAAGATAGGTGGGGGAGGAGTTGAAGTGCCACTGCAGTCCTAAGTGCAGGCAAGCTGCCAAGTGCCTGAATTTTGATCACGTGACTGTGGGGGTGCTGCGACAGCCATAACTTTGGATACCAGTCATAAGTCCCTTCATTCAGTGCTGTTGTAACTTTGAACGGTCACTAAACCAATGGTTGAAGGTTGAGGACTATCTGTACAATAAAAAAACACTTTCCCCCTGTTTAACACCTATCTCACTTCCCCAAAACTTGCCCATGAATCAGTTCCCTCAGATGTCCCACCTCTCAACCCCCAAAGTGGTCGCCTGTCTTTCTTTTGTTTAGGGTCCCTCTTTCTTGGAAAGCAGGCACCCAACAGTTGTTGAATAAAGAACTGGCAATTTCTCCTTGGCATTGTGCTCCTTTCCTCAGCAAAAATTCCACATCATTTTTGTGATTGATTGATTGAGAGTTTTCTGTGATTGTTATTGTGGAAAGTCATGACTTCTACATTCCCAGTCCCTGTTGGGCAATGTTAATGCCTGTACATAGTTATAGAACTGTATAATGAACTATGTTGAACAGAACTCAGAAAGATGCAGCAGCATATAAATTAAAAAATGTTTAAGGAAGGAACCTAGGGAGTGTATGTTCTCCCATCTAGTAGTCCCCAGTCTCCATGAAATTGTTTTTCTGTCTGCAGTTGGCTTCTGTTTCAGTTTGGATTAAATGGACTGCATAGTCTGACAACATAAGACAACTTCATTATATATTGTAATGGTATATATCTTGTTGGTGCTTTCCCTGCTGAAGTGGTTATTATCTAGGCATCTTTGCCTCATTTCCATAAATGAAGAAGCAAGTCTCATTAATTTTTACAGCCTACGTGTTCCTCCTATCATCTCCTCTTGCAGAGCTGTGGGAAGGAATATTTTGCTTCTACTTTTGCTCAGTAGTTTATCATGCTGCCCAGTCCAAACTGCAGCTGATGTTAATGGTTAGCTCGAAGCCAGTCGGTCTCTAACAATAATTAACAGTAAACACAGTTCCGGAGACTCCAGCAAACTATGGTTAATTAAGAGTGGAAGTAAAATCTTTTAAATAACCTTCTCCCTGCCTAGCTGGGAGAGGAGAGTGTGTGAGTCTGATCTTTGCAGTGGGTCATTCTTGCTGGTTCATGCTACTCTAAACTGTAAGGCTTAGCTATGTGTTGTATCTGAAAAGGAAACCTATTGAACGGAAATGTTTGAGATTAAAAATGCATATTTTTAACCAATAAAAACAATTTAAAAATTGCAGTGATTAAAATCTACCTTGATTGTTAAAGCTGTTTCAGCTTTTGCCTGTAGCCCAACACAAGTTTTTAATTGTTAACAATTACGAATCGTGTAGCCTACCATCTCATTCCAAAGGAGGCCTTCTCCAGATGTGCCAGTGAGATGGTAGGAATCAAAATCGAATACATCTTGTGAACACCATGTTGGAAAGACTGTGCTATGCTTACATCTAACCCGGTGGCCGGGAGAAGGTTTTGTGAAACTTGGAAGTTTGTGTGCAGTTCAGAGTTTCAGTAATAGCTGTCCTTTTGCCTACTTTAGATATCTAATGGGCATGAAACCAGGCCCCCTTTCTTTATTAACTGGTTCTGCAAGTTAATAAAAAAGGAGAAAATGGATACATTGACTGGGAATAACCTTTCAAAATTGGGTCATAAAAATCATACAGGCAGTTTCCTTTCTAAGCCTCAGCCTTCTGTCTGTGGTGAAACTAAAGTGTTTTGAATCCAGGAGATGTTACTGCTTTATGGGTGTTGTAAACAGCCCAGTGTATTTGCGGTACTCATCGAAGAGCAACAAGAAAGACTTGCTGTTTGTTCAAGAGCGCTTTGTAGTATGGTGAGAATTTGCAGGACGTATAGTTGAGACAATGAAGTGTTAGCCAGGTAGCCGTCAGTTTGAATCTCACCGTAAGATGATAACTCATTCACTGGGTGGTGTTAGGCAAGGCTCTGTGTCTCTGGAGATTTAGGATTAAGGTTATACAGTGCTAAGTGGTTTCTTGATTTTCTTCATCTGAATTGGAAAAATATTCACTCCAATTCAGGGCTCTAATAAGGAGAAAGAATTAGAGGGAGCCATAATTAATGTACACCCATTCTGTATGAGCAAAATCATATCCTCACTAGTTTTCTAAAAACAATAACAGAGAGAGAACCATCCCCAACATGTTGTAACTCATTCTCTTGGAAATAATAATATTTTTCACTGTTAAACTGACATGTGAAAGACAGGATTCGTACTTTCCAGTCAAGTCGTCTTTCCTTCTTGTAATGTTTTCTGTCTGCTTGCAACTATGAAGTTTGGAAATCAGTGGAGTCTATCAACTATGCAGTTCCTCTTTCCTAATAAGAATGAAACTGTGTGAAAGCATATGGTTCATTTTAGGGGAAGAAGAGGGTTGCAAAGGAGATCTTGGGTGAATATGTGCCTCAAGTAGCTTTGCCAGGTTTGGGAGTTTCTTGCAAGAGTCAAGTACAATATGATAAGTATAATCTTGCCTTGATCAAAGACTTCTAATTTTTGAGCATCCTTCCTTCCACAAACTGGCTCATAAATATATTGGACCTTTGTTTGGATACAAACCTATTTGCTATGCAATTTGATTAAAAGGGTTACTGCAGGAGACAGTACATACATTCTCTAAAACTGTATCCCTGTGATTCTCAAACGTTGTGAAAATCTGACCCCCTAAAATGATGAACTTCTGTGCTCCCCCCCTCCCCCAGTAAGGCTAATTGTTTCATTGGACTAGTAATATTCAAAAGTGCAAGCTTGATTTCTAAGTTGCTTGCAACCTTCCAGGGAGTCTCAGTCTAAAGTTTGAGAATCTGTCCTACAACCCACCCTTCGTTTCAGCCATGGAAAAACATGCGTATTGATAGCTGCTAAAAGATGCAAAGATGTAAAGCTACTAAAAAGACAGAAGAGCGTATCCTGTTTGAGTTTAGGTTGAAAAATAAAAGATTGGCCATCTGAGAGAACTTTCCAAGAATGGTTGAACGGGTGTGAAATCATAGAATGCTGTCATTAATAATTTTGACACATGATGCACATAATAAGGAAATGAGAAGTTAATGCTCATCTAATACTGAATTATCAAGAAGATAGAGGACTGAGGAAATAGCATGCAAAAATGAGTAGAGAGAGGGAAGAGAAAATAAAGAGATCAGGGACGGAAAAGATGAAAGGTTCAGAGTTTGTGTGTGTTTTGGGGTGGGGGTGGGGAATCTCTATACAGAGTCCAGGAAATTAGGGGCTGTACTGTAGTTGCTGTGAAACGGGGAGATGAGAGATCAAAGAAACTAGTCCCCAGAAGGCTAAGGATGTGGGAGGACTTCTCTAAATGTACATATTGGATCACAAATTTCCCACCAAAATTTGCCTGTAGATTTCTCATATCACTAGGCTACTCTGGTACTTTAAACAGCACTTAATTATGAATGTTATTTTTTAAAGACTTTTTCCCCTTAATTTTAAGCAGTTGTCTTAAGCATTCGTCTTCTGTTTGAAGAAGCTTGGCTCTAGTTCACTTGTGGAAGCTAGAACATGTTCGAATAATATGCTGGAATCTTGCCGAGACTTGCCTTATTCTTGGTACTATAGATGGAAATTACTTTCTTCAGAAGGCAGGAGCGTTTAAGTGTAATGGATGGAGGTGAATTTCTAAACATTTCTGCAACAGCTATGGGGTGTGGCATAAGTCTTGAAAGAAACAGAAGAGATTTCAGTTATAGTGGAACTCAAATTATTCCTCTGGGAAATAGCCTCCTATGACAGTCACTGGAGCTGTTTCTCAGGAGACCAGCTTTCTGTGGTGAATATATTGTGCGCTTTCCAGACAGCAGCAAAAATAGTTCACTACAGTGATGGCATGATGTAGGAATTTCCTTCTTAAGGCATGAAGCTCAGATTTGTCTTAAAGATGAGATATTCACCTGCATGCAGGAATTCCTGTTAGTGTGGATCAAGATCACCACCACAACTTCAATCAGTTAAATAGCGCATTAACTCGTTGGTCATAGTTGGGCTTAGGTCTGTCAACTGTAGTCTTATAGAGGTTGTTCTTTTTTTTAAAGATTTTTTATCCTACCTTTATCATTATTATAAATAACTCAAGGTGGCCAACATACCTAATACTCCTTCCTCCTCCTATTTTCCT